TTTGGGAATATGTAGTTCATTAATTTAATCAATACCTATTGATTAAATGTTCCAGAATCCAGATTAATTTAAATGTTTCTTAAACCTTTGATTTTCAGTGCTTAAGCATTTTTCAACAGTGGCTACCATTTGCTGAGTACTTCTATGTGATCAGTAGATAAGATTATTGAATCTAGGTCTGTCAAAAGCTTGTACACTTTTCATCAGTAAAATCCTTTTACAAATGAAACCTTCCTCAGAACTTCAATATATAAAACAGTAACAGTGGCTTCCCTTAGCTTTTACATGTCCCTGTGGTACCTCAATAAGACTCATGGGCCATTTCAAGAGACTGAATTGTCTCATATGACTTCAGGGATTGCTAGGCAAATAGCACATCACTTTGTCTTTTAAATAAGTTCTTCAGGTTGGGCGTGGTGGCTCACGCCTGTAATCCCAGCACTTTGGGAGGCCGAGGCAGGCAGATTGCCTGAGTTCAAGAGCTTGAGACCACCAGCCTGGCCGACATGGTGAAACCCTGTCTCAACTAAAAATACAAAAATTAGCCAGGCGTGGTGGCAGGCGCCTATAATCCCAGCTGCTGGGGCACCGAGACAGGAGAATCGCTTGAACCTGGGAGGCAGAGATTGCGCCATCACACTCCAGCCTGGGGGAGAAGAGTGAGACTCCGTCTCAAAAAAAAAGAAAAAAAATTCTTCCAAGCTTCAAGTTGTGTCACTTCACCTTAATAACTGGAGGTTAGTTAAGCTGAGCTGTGTTCTTTGCTTAATATTAAGACAACGTTTTTTTCCAGATGGAAGAAAACTATCTTTATGAATTGTTAGCTTATTATGTAATGCCAATGGCTTTTAAAAGCTGATGTTTTGGCTGGGTGTGGTAGCTCACACCTGTAATCCCTGTACTTTGGGAGGCCAAGGGGGAAAGATTGCTTGAGGCCAAGAGTTTGGGACCAGCTGGGCAACATAGACCCCGCCTCTATTTTAAAAATTTAAATTTTTTTTTTTTGAGGCGGAGTTTCGCTCTTGTTGCCCATGCTGGAGTGCAATGGCGCAATCTCGGCTCACCGAAACCTCTGCCTCCCCGGTCAAGCGATTCTCCTGCCTCAGCCTCCCGAGTAGCTGGGATTACAGGCATGCACCATCACACCTGGCTAATTTTGTATTTTTAGTAGAGACAAGGTTTCTCCATGTTTGTCAGGCTGGTCTCAAACGCCCAACCTCACGTTATCTGCCTGCCTCCGCCTCCCAAAGTTCTGGGATTACAGGTGTGAGCCACCGGGCCCGGCCTAAAAGAGGTTTTTTAAACCATGAGATGTTTTTAAAGGAATTGGGAGATGACAATTGCAGAAATATTTGAAATTGAAGTAAAATGTAAAGCTTCCTTATTTCATGTAACCCAGACAATCTCAGTATACATAATCAGTTGTATCTGTCAGGTAAATCTATTCGAGGCCATATCACACATTACTTTTAAGAACTAGAAAGGAAAAGTCACTGATCTTAAATATTTATAATACTTCATGTGGTCTAATACTTTTTACATGTTTTGTTTTGATTCAGATTTAGTCCGGATTCCCGGTATCTGGCAGTGGGTTCTAGTGAGAACTCAGTGGATTTTTATGACCTGACATTGGGCCCCACTCTTAACAGAATCAGCTACTGCAAAGACATTCCAAGCTTTGTCATTCAAATGGACTTCTCTGCAGACAGCAGATATCTCCAGGTACAGTACCAATACTATATACCCAGGTGGCAAGTTCTGCTTTTACATTTCGTGTTAGTGAATGCATTTGAAGCTCCTCAGCTCTGGAGCTCCAGCTTCTCAACTCCTACCTTTGTATCTTCCGACCTACAGCTCCCCTTTCCTTCCCCACTTATCAGTGCTTTTCTCCTCTAAGTTTATGTAGTGATCTTTTGCATAGTTAATAATGTTGACATGTAAATCAAGTAGCAATATGCTAGTATTCTGTAAGCCCCCTGTGGATTTTGTCTCTCACCTAATGGAATTCTTGTCCCATTTAAATCTGGTGAAAGGTCTCTAGTGGCTGCTATAAACGGCATGTCTACGAAGTGCCTTCAGGAAAACATCTTATGGATCATGCCGCTATTGACAGAATTACTTGGGCTACATGGACTAGGTAAATACTTATATATTCACAAGGCAAGGACTGACTTTGAAGGCCAGTTAGAAAAATTGGAAAATCCTATTTCTGAGCTGTTAGAGCAATTCCACTGAGGAATAGTAATTGCGTTTCAAGTTTTTGTTACCATATTTTGAAATGGTATGTTCATGTTGGGACCCCTTTTTATTGAATGTATTTCCATGTTTTATCAGTTTCCATGATTTATCAATTTTTTTTTTTTAAGGAAATCAAAGTTTTAACTTTAAAGATACCCTGATATTTTTCTTAACATTAAATTTAATGACTGGCAAAAAGGTATTGGGTGCTGTTAAGCAACTGTTATTAGTTCTCTATCTAAAGGAATGCTATCTTGAATCTATTAGAAGTCAAAGCTTCCAAATTTGTTCAAATTTTCTGGCTGTATGACAGGTAACCATGACTATCCATTTTTTTGGTCAATGAAAAAGGCCATCAAATTCCTCTATCAGCCAGGCATATAGTGGCTCATGCCTGTAATCTCTGATGCAGCAGGCCGAGGTGGGAGGATCACTTGAGCCTAGGAGTTTGAGACCAGCCTGGGCAACATAGCGGGACCCCATCTCTGAAATCTTTTTAAAAATTCCTATGTCATAAGTCACTTTTATTTTTGTAGAGATAGGGATCTCTACAAAATAGAGATCTCTATTGTAGAGATAGGGATCTCTACAAAATGCCCAGGCTGGTCTCAAACTCTTGGCCTCAAGCAGTCCTCCTGCCTCAGCTTCCCAAAATGTTGGGATTACAGGTATGTGCTGCCGGACCCAGCCAAGTAGCACTTTTAATTTGAAAAATAGTGCTATCAGTTTTTGGCCAGGTGCAGTGGCTTACGCCTGTAATCTCAGCACTTTGAGAGGCTGAGGGGGCTGATCACCTGAGGTCGGGTGTTCGAGACTAGCCTGACCAACATGGAGAAACCCTGTCTCTACTAAAAATACAAAATAAGCCAGGCATGGTGGCGCATGTCTGTAATCCCAGCTACTCGGGAGGCTGAGGCAGGAGAATTGCTTGAACCCAGGAGGCAGAGGTTGCAGTGAGCTGAGATTGTGCCATTGCACTCCAGCCTGGGTAACAAGAGCGAAATTCCGTCTCAAAAAAAAGAAAAAAGAAAAAAAATAAAAATAGTTCTATCAGTTTTCATAAAGTACTACTTTAATCTTAAAAGGATTAATCTAGAAACCCTTCAAATTATAAAATTACATTTTTAGAAGGCAGGAGTTGATATCCTGATGAAATTCAGGTCTCCAAACAACTTGCCTTACCATGATTTACTTCCTGTATGTTAATTGCCAAGAAACTTTTTGAATATAGTCAACCTGCCCGCACTTGCTATGAGTTTTCTTTTGTTCCTTCCCTATAGTATTCTAGGAGATGAGGTTTTGGGAATCTGGTCCAGACATGCTGAGAAAGCTGATGTCAACTGTGCCTGTGTATCTCATTCAGGAATCAGTCTTGTAACAGGAGATGACTTTGGCATGGTTAAGTTATTTGACTTCCCATGTCCAGAAAAATTTGTAAGTTTGTGTTTTGTTTACTATTATCAGTTTACTCCTAATTTTGATGTCGTATCATCAGCACTTTTTCTCGTGTATTTAAAATGTTTTGTCCTAGTTTCTAAATTTTTCCCCAAACTTTCTAAATCTGTTTACTCTGAAATAAAAGCTATTAGAAACAAATCCTCTCCCTCGAGTAATACCGTCTTTGGAACTATCCTACAAAAGCGGTAATTAGCTTTTCACGAAACCTATCATCAGTTATTGAATTTCAAATGCTTTTCCTTAGAGAAAAATTGTGAAGAGTACCTGGAGACTTCTGACTGCCCACACAGCCGGGTTTTGCAGATCCATTACTCACGCTGAAAATGCATTCTAATCACTGGCTGCAGTGGTAACTCCCTACTCTCTCCACAGCTCTTGTAATAGAGATTACAGTTCCTAATAAGATCCTTTGATGTGAGTGTGCACCAAATGCCCTAAGCTCTGTCATTGTTTTTTAGGCAAAACACAAAAGGTTCTTGGGTCATTCGCCCCACGTGACAAATATTCGATTTACCAGTGGTGATCGACATGTTGTTAGTGCTGGAGGTGATGACTGCAGGTTAGTAACTTTCTCAGCCCATGAAGAAGAGCAGACTATGTTACTAGTTAAGAGACAATATAACAACTCCTACAGCTTTGGTTTATGAAACCAGCTAGTCAACATTTGCAGAAGGTAGTATAACCAGATGGCTCTTCAGAATCTCATCCTTAAATGCAAATACAGAATAAAAGGAGTTAATGAGGAAAAATATTACACATGTGTAACTTGAAAGCTCAAATGTAAAATATTAAACTGTTATGAAAATCTAAAAACGTAATTAACTCCCTGCAATTTTCTTCTCTGATTGCAGCTTACTTGTCTGGAAATGTGTACATACGCCTCACTGAGAGCTGCTGAGATGACTACACAAATTAACCCTGAGACCAGAATTACAGAGAAGAAAAACCAAAACCCAACCCTGCATGGTCAAGTGGTGCTAACCTAAGACTGTAACAGGGAGAAATGCCCAGAATCATCAAAATAGTGAAAGACTGATCTGTTCAAAATATCTGCTATATACACTGGGTATAATCCATAATCCATACACTGCCAGATAATGCCATTTCAAGGAAGGATCGAATACTTGATGGTAAAGGCCAAGTCCCCCTGTGTTGGGAAGTGTGCGATTTCGGCAGACCTGCTGGGAAAATTTAGGGTGGAGCACTCTTTACAGAAAAACTCAAAAACCCAATTTGGATAATTTTCATCATCTTTTTAGCAAAATGGTTTCTTAGTGTTTATATTTTATTTTCAAGGTTCATTGTTTAATGAAATATTTTATTCTTGCATTTCCATAAGGAAAGGGAAAGTAATGATCACCCTAAAGGATCACAGTTTTTAAAAGGCAAACATTTTCCCTAAGGAAACAGACACAAGCTTTCCTGGAGAATATGATGTTTTTTAGGCATTAATAAAGTCCTTTTTTATAAAGGACACTTTTCTCCTAGTAGTTTTGAATTCAGGAACAGATCTAAAGTTAGCAGTATATGGCTGCTACATTTCCATTTTCATTTTCAAGCCATCAGTTTATGTTCAGACGCCATCTCTGTAATCGAACATTTAAAACGTAACTGTAGCCTCACTAATGGAAAAGTAGTACGATGAACAATCATTCCCAATGGTGTACAGTTTAAGGGTTTTAGGGAGCAACAGTATTTAACTGGAAGAGAGTATTGCATATTTAATGTAGTCTAATATACACACATTTGTTTAACATGTAAACAGTGTTAAATTCACATATACAACATTATACAATTAATCACTCTTGGAATAAAATTTTTATAGCTTTTTTTCTATTGGGAAAATTTGTTTAGCTAGATGTGTGCCACTCCATAGGCTTATTTCCAAAATGAATGAACCCAACTCCATTTGTAAAAACTTGTCAGTTAGAATTCCTTTTTTAGAGGATTAGGGCTGAATTCTTAGATCCTTATTTCTTTTCACTTTAAATGCTGCCAAAGATCAGTACTCAAGAGTTCAGGAATTTGCTGTCTAGCCTATCTGTAGTTTCCTGAAGATGGAAAATTATGTAGACTGCTATTTAAAAATATATTTTTCTAAGTGTGAGGTTTAAGATCTGTATTGACCCTATGAGTTTTTAATGTGTTAATTATCTTTATAGCATAATAGATCGCTTTAGGTTCCTGGAATCCCATTTGGTCTGACAGGATATATGAAGATTATTAATACCTATTTTCTGTGTCTACTACTTGGTTAATACTAAAAATAGAAATGACTAAATTACATCACAGAAAGCATAACCAGTGATTGAACCTGGTAGTTTTAAAGCTCTAAACAGCTGTGGCTGAAGGACTGATAATGGGGCTAAGAAGCTTGAAACGTAAGTTGGTACTCGTTCATCAATGGATTCTCCTAAATTAAGCCAAAATTTGAAATACATGACCATTAAGTTTCTACTCATGTATTTACAGTCAGTCAATAAATTAAAGGGGGAAAAAAAAAAATCCCTGAACAACCTGCCCATAAAAAAAAAAATACTCCTCTATATTTGAGCCTGTTGTAGTTTTAAATTTTCCCTCTGGGTCAAGTTTGCCAGCTTTTGGCTACAGAGGAATTATATTTCCATTACAGTGCAGGTAGAAATTCTGTAACCTTAAGCATGTAAACTACATAGAATAAAACTGTTTCCACTGCATTTCTGTCCTTCAAAGTGGCCAACCTGATTAAGTCAGCCTTAATCACTGCTGCTGTCAGTTTCAGGACTAAAGGTCACATTGACTAAGTAGTCATCCCCTGACCACCTCGCTGTATCAGCCAGCAACGAGGGGAAGGTGAAGAAACATGTTAGGCCATATAGAATCTGCCCTATGTCTACCTTTTTTAACCCAGCAAATTATTTTTGTGTGTAGTATCTAAGCTCCTGATTGTGTAACCTGGGACTTCTGGCACCTTTTGTTCCGTTTTATGTATAAAATGCATGCCAAAGCACACCGTGCACTCTGGTACCCCTCGCTTCCAGTCGCCAACCGTGCTCATTTCCGTCTTTTTGTGGTGATCATTTTAGACCAAGTCATCCAACAAATGTTTTATGGTCAACCTTAGCTTGTTTGTAAGCCATAGCAACTGAAAGATTACACTCTTAAATGTGTGTCTGGGCAGTGTCTATTAAGTAGCAAAAAACAATGAGATTTTAGTATTTTATTTCCTTGTAAAATGGCTGAACTAAATGAAGCCCTTGTTTCCCATTTGTTCTTTATAGTGAAACTGAGAACGAAACTATTTACCATTTATAAATGATAGCTAAAAGTATTTCCAGAAATTTAAACAATTTAAAATAAATTTCTTCTGCAGAGATGCAAAGCATCTCAATGCTGGAATGAATAAATGCCTTAAATTCAATGGATTAAACTTTTAGAATGAAGAGGAACTGTCATTTCACCCAAGCCGAAGACAACAGCCTTATGCGCTTGTGTGCTCTGTCCTTGCTGCTTCTCGTGTTTCAAGCCTTTCCTGTGGGATCAGTGCAGCAAAGTGCAACTTACCAAATGGTTTAATGACTGGTTAATTCTTTCTTCTCCCAATGGAAAAGCAATGGCAACACAACAGTAGACTGCCTGCTTGACAGTCTTAAACATGAGCCTTTGCGCACGTAGGTTTATCATTTGGGTATATGACTAAGCAAGTCAATGAACTTTTTTTTTTTTTTAGCAGTTAATTTGGTCCTGAGAGTGTTGCAGTCTTTATTACCCCTTTTGCATTAATCCACTTTTCTAATCACCTTTTAAGCTTTAATTTTTAACACTATACACCAAGTCTTTGAAATCATTGATCTGTTATTTAACTCTAAAGCATTTGACACTTCTTGCCTTAACAGTTTTAAAAACCACACACACAAAAAGCTCTGTAAGTAATACAGTAGGCCAAAAGTTTCATCCTATCTTGCAGTTTACCTATCTGATCTCTGTAATCATAGTTCTGTCATTTAAAATATACTATTTCAATCTAATTTTTACATTTCAAAAATTATCTTCAGTAGTAACTAAGTATATTTTCTGTGGAGCTATTTCTGAGAATGTTATTTTTCAGAATGTGAGAATACATATGTACATTTATAATCTTGTGACTTTAAAGTCTGTTTTCGGATACCGTATGTAAATACTTGTAAAAAAATTTGTATAATTTTGTGATAATGTAGTTTCCCAAAAAATTTATTTAGAAGGCATTACGTTATCAGTAAATGAGAGCACTGTATAGAACTGTTCCTATTTTCTGCACCTGCCATTCCAGCTGTCTCCACCGTCCATACCCACATCATTCATCCTGTCACAGAAGGCAAGAAAACTGGGAACTTTACCAAAGTAGCACTCAGCCTGAGAGGCCTGTATAATCCGTTTCAAACTAAATGCATTTAAAAATTAAAAAGCAGAATTGAATATTTTAAGCAGCCTCAGTACCTTTGGCCAATGCTGTTTTCGTGGTGGATTATGAACATTATATAATCTTTGGGAAAAGTGAAAGCAGTTCAATTTTTAGAAGAATGACAACTGCCTCACTGCATCTCTCCACTCACGGCAACCGTGTAGCCCCCTAAGCTGAGTACCATTACTAACCATGATGTCAACTTCCTATGCCGATCCTCACAACAGCAGTGCACACGCATGCCCCAATATTTTAACAGAATTTAGCTCTTCCTTAAGCTGTCTTTTCATAGTAAAAACAAAACAAAAACACCCAATGTTAAAATCACTTAATAAACTTACAAACTTGAAAAATTAGACACTTCAGATAGGCAATGAAACTTCATATTATGAAAGCAATATATTCCAAGTTTCAAAGATTTGACAAGTTCTGTAGAGTGTCTTTCATCAGTACATGGAAACTTCCAAACTGCATGATCTTCTGCCAGGCAGGACTGGGTGCTATTCGCTGAGTGAACAGAACCAAAAATTGTTTTAATTATCTGCTTTGTATCCATATATACCAGATATCTCAGTTTAAAAAGCTGACTAGTTTCAGGCAATAAATATTTGGTCATAGGATTACAATACAAAGGGCAGATTTTTTACAAGAATTCAATTATGTCAGGTAGATAAAAGATAATACCATACGTAATTAGATTTTTAGGCCGCACTAAAATATTCTAAAACTTCCTTTCAGTATTTCCCAGTTGCTAATGTCAAAGAAAATGGATGTGAAATTCAAGTACAGTACATGTATATATACTCTTGCTGGCCATTATATATGCTTGCGTAGTATGTAATGAGAAGTTAAAATCTGGCTGGCTCATGCCTGTAATCCTGGTACTTTGGGAGGCCACGGTGGAAGGATATCGCTTCAGCTCAGAAGTTCAAGACCTCTTCTCTACTTAAAATTTAAAAAATTAGCCAGGTGTCGTGGCACATGCTTGTAGTCTCAGCTACAAGTGGGAGGCTGAGGTGGGAGGATCGATTGAACCCCGGGGGTTTGAGGCTGCAGTGAGCTATGACAGTGTGACTGCACTCCAGCCTGGGCAACAGAGCAAGATAATCTAGGTTAAAAAAGTAACCACTGGATAAGATAAAATTTAGCCCATGTAGTAAATTATTTTGCCACAGGACCCTTGTATAAATTAAACAGCAAAGAAAAAAATTCAAAGTAACAGTCTAGTTTCCAATTTTGTGTGCTTATAAATTAAGAAACTGCAAATTAGAAAAAAGAATTTGAAATGACATTAGAAAAACTAATTTGAATGTTTACCTGGTTTGAGGTCGAATCCATTTCAAGGCATGTCGTGGTGGAACATTAATGGTGGGATGGTAGAATGTGCAGTCCGGTCTTGTACACTGAGTGTTAAACCTACAGTGCTGAATAGAAATAACAGAGCTTCAACAACATCCACAAGGCTAATATAAGTAAACACATTATTTTATTATTTGAGATAGGGTCTTACGCTGTCACCCAGGCTGGAGTGCAGTGGCATGACCTTTTGCCTCAGCCTCCCAAGTAGCTGTGTACTACTATGCCTGGTTATTTATTTTTTTTAAGAGATGGGGTCTCACTATGTTGCCTAGGCTGGTTTCAAACTCCCGGGGTCAAATGATCCTTCCACTTCTGCCTCTACCTCCCAAAGTACTAGGATAACAGGCCTGACCCACCCCACCTGGTCAACATACAACTTAAGAGACAATAACCAGCCCACCCTAACCATTAACAGAGAAAGAGATTCCATCTATAAGGACCATTTTAATACTAGTGAAGCCTTGAAAAATGTACTTACCCTTGAGACAAAAAATTCTAGTCAAAGAATCACAGCAAGTTAAATTTCAAACGTAGTTTAGCATACCCTAAAAACTTCTAATTATCCCTTACACTCTTCACTGAGTACCCTCAGCTATGCCCAGTTACAGATGGGGCAAGTGAAGGCCTTTCATATGGTCCTCAGGCTACCAGGGCAAGAAGGAGATAATTCATTCTGACCAAGTAAACATCTGGAGATTCATCAACCATCATCAATCTTTAGCACGCAGATAAAACCATCAGTACAAGTTTGGATGGTTTTAAGCAGTACCTACTGGATTTCATCATCTCAGTTCTGGCATTAGGTTCAAACCGCTCCCCTACCCCCGCCAAAACCCACCCACATATTTAAATGCAGGGAATAATGGAAAATGTGACTAGCAAAGATATGCTTCTCCCCACTGAGTGCTTACGATACTAACAATAAATAGTTTCAGACCACTTAGCCTAAGGGGCCAGATGGAAGTTCAATGACAATGAAGGAACAACTTAATAGATTTTACTGGCAAAAATTGCAATTGCTTTTGTACCAACGTAGTAACTGTGACAAAAAAGAAGGTAAATGACGAAACTGAGACATTATCACTAAATTGATTTTTGGGAAAATAAAAGTTCTTACTTTTGGATGATAGAAGGGACATTCCATCTTCTTACAAGCAGGGAAGTAACGGCAGAGCTGACTGCTGGAAGGTGGTGCTGGCGGTGCAACTGCTAACAAAATAAAAACCAGGACTGGTCTCCAATCTGTTTGGAAAGTCCATTTTTAATGCAGTCTACTGATGGTTGTTTTTGAGAGTGAAAACCATTTTTAAATTAGAATGGTAAGGTTTATATATTCACTAGTCAAAATACTTGCTCTTTAAAGACTAGCTGGATTAACTGATGCTGTCAAAATTATTTCTAAAACCATCTTTTTGTTAGTTCAATTCCATTTACAGTCACAAAATGCCATTTTATATTTTTTACCCAAATGTAGTAGCACAGTAAGTCACTCACCTGGTTTTGGAGACAGTACTGGAATTCTTCTACTCACATGAGTGAAAGGACAATCTGGTTTAGTACACTTTGCATCATATTTACAATTTGGGTGAACAAACAAACATTTTTCAGCAAATTTACAATTGGGGAAGGCTCTACAAAACAAAAAAAAAAAGCATATTTCATATTTAATCTTCTCAATGCATTATTTTTTGTATAAGGGCTCTTTACACTCCCCGTCACTACTTGTTTTGAGAAATGCAAAAACAATAGCAACAAAAAGAATATTTTAAAATAAGACCATATGTCAGAATAGGACACAATCATTTATTCCAAAGCCTGGGATAACACAAACAGGCTTTTAACTAAAGCCAAGCCACCAGGAAAGACAGGCTTTTGTGATAAAAATCACACCACTTAATAAGGTATATATTTTATGCAGTGAATTCATTAATACAATAAACACTCTATGCAAGGCTTTGTGCTATAAAAAGACTCATCCCATAGTCTACTTATGTGTACAGCCGTATTATTCCCACATCATTTCCTTAAAAGAGTTAAAAATGAAGATTCCATCCATAGGACCCAGCCCTGGTGCAGGAAAAAAAAAAAAAAAGCCTCTAAAAGTCATCTCACAAAGCTCATTACATTGAGCCAGCCGGCTTGTAAGGAAAAATTTAACCCAAGTCCAAAATATTTTCATTACCCATAACTAACTTTTCCCTAAACTCCTCAAAATCTGTGTGTAGTGTGTGTGACCAAAATGCATACAAACTGGGGCAGTTACCATTTACCCGTCTCCTTAAACATAGAGAATTCTTAAGGAACCCCAGGTATTTCAGTATCTCATAGGTCTGAGGCACAAACAAAGCACCCCCCACCCCTGCCTCTCAACAAACACCCATAAACAAGAAATACGCTGCTCCGGAGAGGGCCATGGTAATTATCACTCAATTTAGTTATAAAACTAAAGACTTGTCCACAGAAAAGAAAAAATAAGGTACAAGATATAGACACTAAACTGAAAGCCAAAATCAGCTGGCTGTGACTTGTAGGGTGAGATGGGGGATGGTACTCATTTGCAGGGTGAGATGGGGGGGATGGCACTTGCAGGGTGAGAGGGGGGATGGTACTTACTTGCAGGGTGAGGGGGGATGGTACTTGCAGGGTGAGATGGGATGGCACTTGCAGGGTGAGATGGGGGGATGGCACTTGCAGGGTGAGAGGGGGGATGGTACTTGCAGGGTGAGATGGGGGGATGGCACTTGCAGGGTGAGGGGGGGATGGTACTTACTTGCAGGGTGAGGGGGGATGGTACTCACTTGCAGGGTGAGATGGGGGGATGGCACTTGCAGGGTGAGATGGGGGGATGGCACTTGCAGGGTGAGGGGGGGATGGTACTCACTTGCAGGGTGAGATGGGGGGATGGCACTTGCAGGGTGAGATGGGGGATGGTACTCACTTGCAGGGTGAGATGGGGGGATGGCACTTGCAGGGTGAGATGGGGGGATGGTACTCACTTGCAGGGTGAGATGGGGTGATGGTAGGCACACTCATCCCCATTTTTACAAGCAGGCCAGTACTTGCAGCGCTCCAAAAGTTTTTCTGGTTTCTGTGCCACACTCAGTTCACTCATCTCAGCTACAAAGGGAAAGGAAATACAAGTATTTCATTCGTTATGATCAATTCAGTACACAGCACCTTTAATGTATTTCCCTCAAACCCCAGTCTCAGAATCTTCTGTTAAATGTACAGTCATATAAAATAAGTGAGCCCAAATTATGTGATTAACACTGGCCACAGAAACCTATAAAAGATTGCCAGGAAGCAGACAACAGTTCTCACTGTGAAAAGGAAAGAGGACGGTGACTCTGCAACTAAAGCCAAAGTTTTCACCAAAAATTCTAATTCTCAATACTAATTCACAGCTGAATTAAACATAGAGGACGTCGTCAAGTGGGGAACCAATACAATTAAATAAAAACTGAAAACACATAAGGTGATAAGGAGATGTGAATTCTCACATGCCAGCAAGATGATGAGTGGCCCAAATACAAAAGGATTCCCACTTGCTGAGCTAAAGTCCAGGTGCTAAACTCAGCAATGTCTATTTTTACTTTTTTTTTTTTAAAGACAGGGTCCTGCTCTGTCACCCAGGATGGAGTGCAGTGGTGTGCCAGTGGCGTAATCTCGGCTCACTGCAACCTCTGCCTCCCAGGCTCAAGTGATCCTCCCACCTCAGCCCCTACCAAGTAGCACGTGCCACCGGGCCTGGCTAATTTTATGTATTTTTTGTAGAGATGGGGTTTCTCTATGTTGCCCAAGCTGGTCTTGAACCCCGGGACTCCAGCGATCCACCCACCTCGGCCTCCCAAAGTGATGGGATTATAGGCATGAGCCACCGCACTCAGCCAGCAATGTCTAAAAAGGGGAAGACATTTTTGCCTGCAATGGGGTCACAAATGCCATCACTTACAGGGACTGGGCAGTTCCCCTAACATAGCAAGACTGACTGGGCTGAAGACGATAAATGCAGTAAGGGACAGATGGGGAGGAGCAACCTAGAAAGCAAGTACACACCCATCCACTCCACTCCCTGTGCCACGTCCAATCACAGCTTCCATTACTATGACAGGGCAAAGTGGGACCCCTGTTGCCAGATTTTTATCCTGTTTCAGTAAGCCAAAAATCTGCCTTCATTGAAATTGTAATGCTGGCAATTTATTCAAATAACACTGAATAAGTAAAATTACAGCTACAGGCAATAATCCGCTGCTAATTTCTGGCCTCAGACACCACAAACCCCCCACAAAATAGCATCATGGGTATTATGTATTACGGTTCACACTCATGTTCATGAAAGCAAGTATCACTTCAACTATATTCCTCTAGTTCTCTTGCCAGAGGTCAGTTAAAATCTGACTCTGCCACTTAGTTGCTCAGCTAGACACTCTGTGCAAATGTTAGCTAACTTCTCTGAATTCTGTTTCCTCATCTATACAAAGAGAAAATAATGTCTTCCTTAGAGTCTGATGATTACACGGAAAAAATGCAAGACAGACAACCAGTCATAATAGCAGCAGCAGCTAGTTCTATGAGTACTTACTGTTCCAGTGACCCATGTTCTGTCTTCACTACAGGAGAACAAGGCACACAAATGCAGTCATGCAGCACAGACAGGAGCAGCATCAAAGAGCAATTATGACTATGCCTGATAGAAACAATTTTCTATGCTACTTTAAAAATAGTAAAAGTCCTATTTAAGCTTTAAATAGGATGTGGTGGCTCATGCCTGTAACCCCAGCACTTTGGAAGGCCAAGGCGGGCAGATCACTTGAGCTCAGGCGTTTCAGACCAGCCTGGGCAACATGGTGAAACCCTGTCTCTATTAAAAATACAAAAACTTAGCCAAGCACAGTGGTGTGCACCTGTAGTAACCAACTACTCAGGAAGCTGAGGTGGGAGAATCACTTGAGCCTGGGAGGTGGAGGCTGCAGTGAGCCGTGACTGTACCAGTGCACTCCAGCCTGGGTAATGGGAGTGAGACCCCGTCTCAAAACAAAACAAAACAGTAAAAGTCATTTTAGTTCTAAGATACCAGAATAATCTTCGTTCCAAAGAAAATCTGAGATGACTGGAAGTTTCTCTAACTTTTACATGTTTTTTGTGTCATCCCTGCAGAGTAAATGTGTCTTGCCCTTTTCCTATAATAAACTACACACAGCAGACTATAATATATACACAAGAACCCAGTCCAAATAAAAGATTAAGGGAATACCCAAGAGAAGCCTAGCTGGAAAGTAAAGTAGCTAGATACTCAGGAACAATATAATACTTTACAAAGAAACGTGATTATTACAATAATACCTTACAAAGAAACTTTATCTTTCTGATTGAAACATTTAAGTCATATGAAGGTCATGCCCCTAGTCTTCACTGGCTGACAATGACTTTGTAAACTATTAAAACGTTTTCTGTTCAAATTTTAAGAGGCAAATTCACCTTTTATTGAAACCTATAGGCTGGGCGCGGTGGCTCACGCCTGTAATCCCAGAACTTTGGGAGGCCGAGGTTGGTGGATCACTTGAGGTCAGGAGTTGGAGATTAGCCTGACTAACACGGTAAAACCCCATCTCTACTTAAACTACAAAATTAGCCAGGCGTGATGGTGCATGCCTGTAATCCCAGCTACTTGGGAGACTGAGGCAGGAGAATGGCTTCGACCTGGAAGGCAGAGGTTGCAGTGAGCTGAGATCGCTCCATTGCACTCCAGCCTGGAGGACAGAGAGAGACTCCATCTCAAAAAAACAAAACAAAACAAACAAACAAAAAACACAAGCAAGCAAGCAAGCTATAAAATCTGTGCTGCCATATGACAGTGAGTGAAAAGGCAACAGGTTAAAACAGATGTTGCTGTTGGCTGTATCCTTGAAACAACCCAACATAAAACCAACCAGAAGCAACTGCAGTTTCACACTCCCTGCTCACAGGGGAAGTGGGCAGAGGCCAGAGGCTGCTGATAACTGCTCTGCAACAGTCTCTCCAGCCGCACCCCTGTGCGAATCTTACAAAGCTTCATCCTTGAGCGGCAGTGGAACACTGAGTCTCAAGTCAAAGCAATGGGAAAGGAGGCTCACCACTCAGCATGGCTGTCAGCACAGTGGCCAGAGCACCGGCAAGAATTTTTACTAATATAATATTTATGGTGTCACTGCTGCTACGTGTATACCCCGTAAAGCCTCATATGGACATCAACATTTAAATGAAACCAGATCCTAACAACCAAACAATTAAGCTACCAAATCGAAAATCAAGAGCAGTGAAAACACTGGAGTCTTCTCTTTAGACAAAACATACAGAGTCAAGAAATCTGTATTGCCTACTGCAGCTTTTACTATTTTTAAGTTTTTCTTCCTGTTGATAGGGTCAGATTTTCAACTCCCTCCACTAATCAAAACCACAACACTACGTCATTGATTCACAGCAGGAAACGCAACCAGTTAAAATAAAGCTCAGTGTTATCGCTCCACTACCATATGATTTCCCTCTATTCTATTTTTAATGATCAAAAAGGTATTCAATACATTTTCATATCTCTTCCAAGAGGACTGCTTAAGGAAATGTTTCAAAATCCATTATTGTTTTTCCTTTGAATCTGTACACTTTTACGATTCCGTAATTATCCCTCCTGCCAACGAAGAGGTGCTTCTAAAAATTTTAGAAGATATGAGGAACATAATTACCATTCTCTATCACGAATGGAAATGATCAGTGGCGCTGCAGCTGCCACTGATACCCAGTGAAAGAAACGGTGATAAGAAACCGTCACCTGCCGAAAACCATGGCACTATCTGAAGGGAGTTCATCTGAGTTCTGCTAAATATTACTCTTCAACATTAATTTAAACAGTTCCAAGAAGTATCTTGACAGATTAGGGGAGAAACTCCTTTCAAAGAAATTTCACTGAGGTAGAAATAGAATCAAATCTAAAATTTTCTCTCAAGTTAATTACAAGAGACTATTGCCGATAAAAGGGCAAAGTGGCAGTACAGTTTCTGAAGAAAATACAAAGGTAAAGAAGGCATCAAGAATGGTGGTTCATCCTTTAGCCAGCATAAGGAAGAAGTGTCTTAGGTTCCATGGCTGAACCCCGTTTTCACACTGGAGTGACAGCCCACCTACGAAACAGACACAGGAAAAAGAGTATGAAGTGTACTTGGTGGTTTTGTCTGAAAGAAGAAAAAAGGCCATTACCGAATATAAATATAAGCAAGGCCTTTAACCAATATTCATTCAAGGCAGAGAAACAAGTCAAAGATTCCCTTCACAATGACAGCACCCTGAAAATCTGAGCTCTCAACACACCGTTGGAAAAGCTACCATTTGGGTCCTCAAGCTGCCTGCTCAGCAAGTGCAACTGCTGTGGGTGGAGGAGACCTCTGAGTCCCTTGTTTGAGGCTGCAGTTTGGTTTACGGGTTTCATTCCTTCAAAGCACATGTCCTCCTCTTGATCTGACATGTATCCTGGGGGGCTGGGGACACCATCCAGCGTCACTATAAACTTGGGACTTGCAGGTTTATCTGGTTGTACAAGATCTCTGCCAGACAGATAAAAAATACCATAGAATTAGGGAAACAAACACAAAACGCTGAGCCCCCTAAAGTGCTCTTCAGCAGAACTATCACTCCCTTGGCTTTGCGTTTGGTTCAATAAAAAAGACTAGGTAGGGCTTCCAGGTGCAGCACTGGTGGGTTCCCTGCTAACACACGATGGCCATGAACAGACACAGCGGCATCATCACCAGTGACCCTCTAGCCTGTACTAACTTCACTAAGGACAATCTCCCCTCAAGCCTGACCCCATCACCCATTTGATCTTCACAGGGTCAATATGGAAATAAACCAAAAAATTAGCATCAATGCTCAGAACACAGGGCCAGCAGCATTTATGCTAATTTATTATCTGTATGTTGGTTCTTTTACAGAAACAGTCAGTTTTCTCAGGGAAAAAAATCACCCAAACCTGATCTGCCAACTCTCTTTAGAGTTGACCTGCTTATGGTCAGCTGGCTTTTAAACTTGCATTTCCTGAATTTGCATAAAGAAAAGAATCTTAATAGAGTTAAATCATACACTGGAGTTGTAATTTGTAGGTTAATGGATTTCTGAACAAGAAAGATGAACTGGAATTCTTGAACACTGAATTTGGCTAGCTACTGAATCAATGAAAGCACTCTATGCTAGGGGCTGGGGCGGGGAGAAGGGAAGCTGCAAACGAATGGTTAACCTTTACTATCTAATCACACAAGTTAACTACACAAGAAAAAGAAACCATCTACCGTGTCTGCATAAGGTGTCCTGAAAGTACCCGAAGGGAATCTGCAGTCTTCATCCCCGACTCTTGGTTTGGTGCCACTACTATTTCCTCAGACAGCTTTGGCTTCTTCAGAATAAATGATCTTGTGTCTGCATGGACCATGGATTCCATGTCATAGTAATCTGAGCCAAAAAAATTGGCCACAAATGTTTACTTCTGAATATACCTTACATTCCCAACATCAAACATGTGAGAAGAATGTCAATCTTTTATATATTCAAATTATTTCAAAGGAAAATCACAACTGGTTCCACTCAGGAAAATAGGGCTATAATTCCATTCCGAACATGTTTTCAGAGAACTCCAGGAGTCCTTTCCGCCTAGGCCACAGCGCCAGTGATTCTGATTAACACTCCCTACCCACAGCAGAGAGAGGTTCTCAGGTGAGGCATCTCATGAGATATTAACAATATACCCTTAAAGTACAAAAGTCTTTTCTAAAAACCTAGAGAATTTGAGTCCTAATGCTCCCTATAATTAGAATACACAGACTGCTGAACCACTGGTTTCGAAAATCTGGTTTGTTCACTTCGCACAGTACCACTTAGAATCATATCCTGATAAGAAGAATTCAAGTGGTACAATTTCCAATTGGTGACAGACCGAGGACTACTGTAAAAGGGAACTGAAAGGTGAATGGGCACTTAAACATATGTATCAAGAAAAACACTGGCCTTTAATGCAAATAACCATAAGCTCACATCATCTACTATTTTATACAATATGTCAAGACCTACAACCCAGAATGGATATGGCTGACCTATCAATACACCATCAACGGACTACAGTTAATACACTTCTTTCAAGGCTAGAGACCAAAATTCACAGGACATTGATTTATGTTCATTCATTGAGTATTTACTGAACAACTAAGAGAACTGAGCTAGGTACACAAAGAAAAGAAGAAAAACAGACACATATACAATTTCAGAATAGCATGACCCAAAAGGGATGTGAACAAGGTGCTGAGAATACAGAGCAGCCCACTCCAGCCAAGAACCAAGGAAAAGCTTAGCAAGGAGGAACATCTGAAGTCAGCAGTAAAGGAATGAGCAGGAATAAACGAGGAGAGAGACTCGGAGAAACAAACACAGCACTTCAGGCAGAGGAAAACCCACGTAGAAGGAAAGGGGCTTTCACAAGGTCGAAGGCATCTGAGAAAGGTTAGAATGTGGAATGGCTGGAAGGGTGTGTGTGGTGGGCTCAACAGTGCATAGCAAGGAAAGCTGACACATATAATAAAGGTTCTTCTACGTCTCAGTGACTCTGGATTCTGGTCTAGAAGTAGCAAGAAATCAAGAGGCTTGGTGTGGTGGTTCATGTCTGTAATCCCAGCATTCTGGGAGGCCAACGCACGAGGATTCCATAAGCCCAGGAGTTTGAGACCGGCCTAGACAACATAGTGAGACCTCCCATCAACCAGAAAAATAAATAAATAAATAAAATTAGCCAAGCGTGGCAGCACATGCCCGTAGTCCCAGCTACTTGGGAGGCTGAGGTGGGAGAAGCACTTGGGCCCAGGTCAAGGCTGCGATGAGGATTGTGCCACTGCACTCCAGCATGAGTGACAGACGGAGACCCCATCTCAAACCAAAAAAAAAATTTTAAAAAAAAGAGAAAAGAAATCAAGAGAGGTTCCTAAGGAAGGAAGTGACCTGATCAAATTGGTTTTCAGAAAAAGTGTTAAGAAAGAACCAGAGTCCTTGACCTGTTGTTGCCCGGGAGAGAGGGTGAGGCTCTGAATGAGAAGATTCTCCACTATCTGTCCTGGAACCACACACCTGACAGGAAGAGAAGACACGCTCCGTCCTGGGAAGGGGCACACCCGCCTTCCCCAGCAAGGGTAGTACAAATGGTAAAGTGAAACAGGTGGAAGAGAAAGCTGGGGATGAGAAACTTAGGAAAAGAAAAAGAGCAAAGTTAAAAGGGCCAAAGATACATTTCAATGTTAGATTTATTTAAAGTCTTTCTGGGACTCTCCCATGTTTAAGAGGAAGCAGAAAATTCAGATTTGACCCGTAGGTGGGGGGACAGAAGACGCTGAGTCAAAACCGAAGGTGACAGAAGTGTTTAGCATACTCAGGGTGGCCGCCTCTCATTGAATCCTCACTCAAAGCCTACAAAGTCATTTTCCTCCCATGTTACAGATGACCGTTTCCAGCTCCAAGTTATTAAATGATTCACGGAGGTCTCCCAACTATCAAAGGTGGGTCCCAACAGTGGTCCAGGGGCTGCTTCACTCCTTCCCACCACCCTGCACTTTCTGAGACCAAGGAGTTCTACCAGTTCATAGTCTGGGTGAACACAGAAGAGATGAAAATGATGCTGAAGGCGGGAGAGAGCAAAGCTAACCTTTTAAGGAGGAATGGAGGAGAGGAGTTGATACGTAAGAATGAAAGGGAATGAAAAGAGTTAAGTGAAGTCTTGGCAGCCAAAAGGTCAAAGCTTGGAGAAAGTACAGGAACCCAAGTGTAGCATGCTCCAGGGTTGAGGAAAGCGTGCACCAGTCCTTCCCGCACACCTCTCTGCAAGCTGCACGTCAGCAGCCTGGGTCACGTGGAGACCAGACAGACGGGGGAGTAAGTAGTATCTTCTGAGTAGAGACCACAGGCTGACCCCATGTGTTTACTTTTTGTTCCTTCCTGAAAGCCCACAAAAATGTCAATAAAGGGTTTTGTTTTTGTTTTTAAAGCATAAACTCACAAGGAAAATAACTGTAAAAAGAAATTTTCAAAGTGGAAAACAGATGATTAAGAACTCAGGGCCGGGCGCGGTGGCTCAAGCCTGTAATCCCAGCACTTTGGGAGGCCGAGACGGGCGGATCACAAGGTCAGGAGATCAAGACCATCCTGGCTAACACGGCGAAACCCCGTCTCTACTAAAAACACAAAAAATTAGCCGGGCGAGGTGGCGGCGCCTGTGGTCCCAGCTACTCGGGAGGCTGAGGCAGGAGAATGGCGGGAACCCGGGAGGCGGAGCTTGCAGTGAGCTGAGATCTGGCCACTGCACTCCAGCCTGGGCGACAGAGCGAGACTCTGTCTCAAAAAAAAAAAAAAAAAAAACTCAGGGGATGTGTAAAAGCTGAATTCTAAGGCAATAATGAAACAATCCAATTCAGACCACAAGATTCTCCAAAGCCTCAGGAACTGGCAGTAAAAGGGACCTTGGGAAGAAATGGGAGAAATGACAGGCAAAAAAGAGGTGTGTTAGATGTGTCCCTCTAAGAAGCAGTTAGTTCTTCTTCAACTCTAATTCCATGTATCTGTTTTCTTTGTTTGAGACAGTCTTGCTCTGTCGCCCAGGCTGGAGTGCAGTGGTGCGAACTCAGCTCACTGCAACCTCCGCCTCCTGGGGTCAAGCGAGGCTCCTGCCTCAGCCTCCTGAGTAGCTGGGATAACAGATGTACACCACCACGCCTGGCTAATTTTTGTATTTTTTAGTAGAGATCAGGTTTCGCCATGTTGGCCAGGCTGGTCTGGAACTCCTGACCTGAAGTGATCCGCCCGCCCTGGCTTCCCAAAGTGCTGGGATTACGGGCATGAGCCACCACACCTGGCCACTGTTTTCTTGGTTTTGATCCTTGCCACACCAATCCCGACCTCTACACTGAAGACACCTGGGACGACTGGCGATGTGCTTTCCTGTAGATAATCTTCGGACAGGCCCACGGATGAAGCATCAGGGTCTCTGCCAGAAAGACGCTATGACAAAATCCCCTGAATGTACACTGTTAAAAATTGTTAAAGGCAATTAGATTTCCTGATAAACCTTTACCCATTGCAAGCATTCTCCCTTGGAGAAAGTGGAGCTTTAGACTCTTCAGAGGGTAAGAACAGAGTCCCTGGACCTAGAGATACCAGCCATGATGAAAGAAGTACTGGACTGACAATGATGTGGGGAGAATTAAACATTACATAATAATTAATGGTGAAGTGCCTCTCCCAGCCTTCTTTCCCCACTTAAGCTCGCAGAACGCTACCAGGTTATTACTTGAAAAACCTTGTTTTGGAGAAGCTGACCAGGCTGAGAGGAAAGTCTTAAAGGCAGTGACATCAGGGTGCCCATGAACTAGACAGGCAGGACAAACCACTTTCCACCACACGGTCCAGTTTCAAATATAAAGTCGAAGCGCCCCATGCCCCAACTCATGAACCCAGAATACCAGTGAGCTTCTGAGTGCTCCACTCGAAATGTAAGACCACCTAGGATCCCCGGACATCAGATGGAAACCTCCAGCATAAAAGACAGCCAAAACAGACCACTTAGAGAAAACAAGGCCAAGCAGGGAGGTGAAAAACGTCAAAACCACCTTTCAGATCCGCAGAGAAATAACAAAAAGTATTGCATACACAAAACAAAACCAGTATGTTTTTAAAAAAATTAATAGAATGTGCAGAAACAAAGGGTTCTTAGAATAAAACATGTGATAGGAGCTAAGCACTGCAGCCATTCATAAGCCTCACAGAACTATTTGCTATTTCAAACCACGAGCACCATGTGTACAATGAGAAGCTGAAGGAAGCAGAAGAGAAAACATGCACAAGAGCTATGAAGTGGATCCCACACACAGACCTCGGCTGCCAACCTTTTCAAACACTCCTGTGGAGAAAGCAGGATGCACTCCTGGGAGATGAGAGCTAAATCATGGGTAGAGAATGTCTGAACACCTCTACAGAGAGAAGACAGAGGCAGAGAATGAAGCTGGAGGAGTGGGTGACATGCCAGTGCTCACCAACCTGGTGGGACGTGGCCTCTGGTGGAGACTGGCCTTAGGGAGGAAAAGCACACTTTCTGAGCTGGAAAGCTGGGGGAGGGTCAGGGAACAGAGTGACTGACTGTGGAGCCCTGACTGAGGGGAAAGAAATTCCAGGAAGGCGCTAACTGAGAGGGTCAAGGGACCAGAGCTTCACACAGAAGACAGGCTTAGGGGAAACAGGACTGAGATGATTCCAGGTCTCTCATGGTTGCCTGTGTTTATCCTGCAGTCATTCTTAAGACACTGAACATGCATCTGGCAGGGGCTGGGCACTGAGGACAGAGATAATAAAAATGAAGGCATCAGTTCCAGTCCTGAAGTAGCCCTTGGCATGTGTGTCTGTGGGGAGAGGAAAAGGAGACAGGCAAACTAGAGTGGCTCTAAGAACACTAGAACAGTAAGTTCCAGGTGTGGCCCTGCTAGTAAGACTCCAAAATGAAGTACAAGAGGATAAGGCTAAACATGTGAAAAAAAGGATACAAAAGCCACTCATGGCAATGACAAAAGCTGGGTAGAGTGGGAGGGTAAGTCAGAAACGCAGGTCATTTCTGACAGCAGGAGAGTGACAGCCAACAGTGCTATGGAGACACGTGGAATGGTGTGAAAGGAACAAAGTTTTCCAATAAGGCAAAACATTGTAACACTATATAACATGAAAAAAATGCAGATCTTATCTCCTGGCCCTAAAATATTTTCACAGATCTAAACATAACATCTTAGGGCAGGATCTAAGAGATACGAGATATGTTAAATGGGGTGTAAGAAATGGAAATGGCAACGGAAACGGCTAGATTACAGTACAACTCGAAACATTACCAACCTTGACTCATCTGCAGAGTTTCTGCCATTACTGGGTCGATTTGCAGTCGGGATAATAATTGCCTCTGTTGAGTTCCTAGAATATAAATTTTAAAACTTCACTAAGCTTACAACACAGACAATACCAGCATGTGGTTCCCAAAAATCAATCCTTCTGGGTTCTTAAAGTCTTAAAAGTAACTTAAAGCTTCAGCAATTCAATTTAACAGTATTTATAGACCAAAGGCATATCCTATAAGACAAAAAAGGCTGTACTCAGGGTTAAACCAAAAATGCCAATGTAAGACACTCCTGGTTCTCCCTCTGTGAGGACATCAGTTTTCCTGAATTTGAATTCTGTGGGGAAAGCAAAGGTGGCAAAAGGGCGGAAAACCCAGGCAAAGGCATCTGGTGGCGCGGCAGCTCGCATCACAGCCAACTGCACAATCAGCATGGCGAGCCCCTCCCTCCATCACCTGAGCTCAGCTCTTCCCATCACGACTCACTCACCCATGACCTTTACAGATAATAATCGAAATAGCAAAACAAAACACTCCAGAATTATCTACACATAGGAGTTCCCAAAAGACAAACTATGGGCTTCGATGCATGCAAAGAAACCAAGACACTCAGCTCTACAATCCACACCCTATGTCAGCAAAGCATGATAATAATTCTTTGGCTCTCCCACAAGAAAAGATGTTCAACTACTTATTTCTTCTAAAATAGGCTCATAACATTAATTCCTATTAGGTTCACAATTCCTAATAATAATATGCTCAGCAGTCTGACTGCACAAAATAGGGACAAATAACTGATTTTTTCTATCTTCGATCTGACGTGCAGCTCCTTGAGGATGGGACAATGTCACACTTTTCTGTGGCCCCCACAGTGCTTAGGAGACAGCAGGCACTCACTGCTCATGTATAAGGAACTGCACTACAGTGTACAAAGGGATGTAACTGATAGGGTTGCAAATACTGAAATCTTACTAAGATGCCCACATGCTAATTTGGGGTACATCCATTACAGGTGGCTTCACAAGGACAGGCTTCGCTTACTCAGTGCCAAGATGTAAGGGGGCAATCTCCCACCAGGCACCACATTTCATTAAAAAGTGTTTTTAAGTTTTAAAACCTATACTCCATTTGAAATTTTATCAGTTGGTTTCCTTTAAAACATAAGTTACATGACATTTTATTGGTGCATCCCAAAAAAGTGAATTCCTTCCAGAATTATTACCGCAAAACCACACACATCCTGAGGAACTGTAACCAAGATGACACTTAGGTCAAGTTGTATTCCTGTGGGAAGCTTGGAAAACTGAGGTGAAAAGTTAAAGGACGAATGCTCTTTCCATCCAAACACTCAACAGGTCTCCTTCACATCAACAGTACATGATGAAAGAATGCGACATTTTAAAATAATTTCACACAGATACAAAAAAGACCACACTTCCACATTTCAAGTTTTGCTTCATCGCTCTAGGTTCATCTACCTTTTCAAAACATCGTTTTAGAGAGCTCCATTAAAGAGGATGGAATTCTGATCAATTCTAGATTTCTAAGCTAAATCACGCAGAATCCAAATTTGTCATTAAAGGTCTATGAAAAATTCAAGTTCTCCGTAACTTGCTCCCTCCACATCACAGCTACAGTCAACATACGTGCAAAGATACACATCAAAGGATGGGTACCTAGAACATATTGTATATTAAGAGTTTACCTTTCTCAACGTTTCTAAGGAAGCCGATTATTTTTACATCAGTAGTTCTTGACTGCGATTCAGTATCTTCTTCTTGATCTTCAAACTGTCTGTTGCATTCAGATGTTGTTGAATATTCATTCATTTTAACCTCCAAAGATGAAATTTTTGCTTCATTCTGGGACACTCTAACATTTAGATCAAAAAGATTTGCTTCCACTGTCAAAATAGCTGCTTTCATTCCTTTAATTTCATTGATATCAGTTGATATTTTCCTTAAAAGGTGGGAAATATTGTCTAGCTCATTCAGTGAACAAGAGGAGCTTGTTATGGAACCTAAGTCCACTGGTTCCGGTGGAAGAAAAATTGGTAGAGGTGGTGATGGAAACTTTGAAGACATTTTCATAAAGGAGACAGAAGCCTCAAGGACATTTTCACAAAATTTTCTCTCTCCCTTAAACTCTGATAATTTTTTCTTCACAGCTCATTAAGTTATTTCATCAAAAGTAAAAGTAGTGATCAAGGCTGTTACCTTAAGAAGTATTAAGAGCAAGTAACATCTTAAAACCTATAATTCAAAAAATGGGGTTGTACATTTCTAGAGCCAGAACTCAAAAGTAAACGTGAAAAAGCTAAATGTACAAGACCAATTGCTCTTTGCTACAACTAAGAAGCCCTAACATGTAGGGCCCTACATCCTCTAAGTCCTACCATCTATATAGCTCCTCTTCCAATAAACCCTATTATTACATACAAAATAATACTGGTTTCTGATTGGCTGAAAACAGACATGTGTCACACAAAGAATTTTCTATTATTTACTTCACATGAGACCACTGAAGTGCTACACTCTAAGTTAAGCAATACAACATTAAGTGCTTTACATCTAAATATGGTATGAATTAAATGTACTTTTCCCTTTTCATCTAAACCATAACATTTTTAAGCTTCAGATTTCTGAATTGTTTTATTTTATTTTAAGTTGTATTTCCCCTTGAAATTAGTATATAACATTATTGAGATTGACAAATCCTTTGGAGGGAAAGGGCGGAGAAAGTACCTGGACCCACGATCCAAACAAACTTCTTTCAAGATACATGTGGTAATAACGGAATTCAACTTCACTAATATAGTATCATGTAAACTCAAGGATGGGGAAATAAGAACTCAGCCTTGGCTTAAAACTGGACCATTATTAGATAGGTGTTTCTTAAATATTCTCTCCCATTTTGTTGTCTTTTTTTTTTGATAGCATCTTTTGAAACACAAAAATACTAAATTTTGATGAAGTCTGATTTATCTTTTTTTCCTTTGGTTGCTTGTGCTTTTGGTGTCATATTTAAGAAACCATTCCGGAATCCAAGACATAACTATTTTTTTCCCTAAGAGTTTTGAAGTTTAGGTTTTTGATCCATTTTGAGTTTATTTTTGTTTATGACATAAGGTAAGGTTCCAACTTCATTCTTTTCATGTCGATATTCAGTTGTCCCAGCATCACCTGTGGAAAAACCTATTCTTTTGCCAATAAACAGTCTTAGCACCGCTGCCAAAAATCGATGTGTTGTGAAAGTATGCAGTTGCTTCTGGACTCTCAATTCTGGTCCATGGGTCTGTATGGTTATCCTTATGCCAGTATCACACAGTCTTGATTACTTTAGCTTTGTAATAAGTTTTGAAATCAAGCAACATAACCTTGACAATGTTACTCTTTTTCAATAGTTTTGGCTATTCTCAGTCCCTTTTTATTTCCATATGAATTTTAGGATCAGCCTGCCGATTTCTACAAAAAAAGCAGTTTGGGATTTAAACAGCGATTGAGTTGAACCCATAGATCAACTTGGGGACTACTGCCATCTTAAGAATAGTAAAGACTTCTAGGCTGGGTGCAGTGGCTCACGCCTGTAATCCCAGCATTTTGGGAGGCCAAGGTGGGAGGATCATGAAGTCAGGAGTTCGAGACCAGCCCAACCAACGTGGTGAAACCCCGTCTCTACTAAAAATACAAAAATTAGCCGGGTGTGGTGGTGCACGCCTGTTATCTCAGCTACTCAGGAGGCTGAGACAGGAGAATCGCTTGAACCCGGGAGGCAGAGGCTGCATGAGCAGAGATCGCGCCACTGCACTCTAGCCTAGGAGACAGAGGGAGACTCCATTTCAAAAAAAAAAAAAAAAAAAGAATAGTAAAGACTTCCAATCCATTAACACAGAAAATCTTTGAACGTCCTTAATTTGAGAAAGGATGTTTTTACTTTGGTTTACTCCCCCAAGCAAACAAATAAGATATGCAACATACAAGGATGCAAGTTGGTAGATGCTGCTCACTACAGCCTCTTAAAAGAAGAATCCTGGCCTGGCGCGGTGGCTCACACCCGTCATTCCAGCACTTTGGGAGGCCAAGGCAGGTGGATCACTTGAGGTCAGGAGTTCGAGACCAGCCTGGCCAACGTGCTGAAACCCTGTCTCTACCAAAAATACAAAAATTAGCCAGGCGTGGTGGCACGCACCTGTAATTCCAGCTACTTGGGAGGCTGAGGCAGGAGAATCACTTGAACCTGTGAGGCGGAGGTTGCAGTGAGTGAGATTGCACTACTGCACTGCAGCCTGGGTGGCAGAGTAAGACTCTGTCTCAAAAAAAAAAAAAAAAAAAGAAAAGAAAAGAAAAGGAATCCTTATAAAGAATTGTAGACTTTGGTTTCCCAAATAGGTGTCACAGTAACAGTATAAAGAAAATGCTCTGTGCTGGAATTTGTAAAATAAAAATCTTTATTCATTTCTCCACTGTATGAATCAGTTCTTCAAAATTCCAGACAGAAAATAATGTTCAAAATTCACAAGGCTTTGGATTCAGACTTTTTTTTAACAGAACCAGTTGGCATATGACATCCATAGTAACTGTTAACAGCAAGACACTCTCAGCCAAGCACCACCTGTAAACCAGCTGGTTCACTAGAGGACAGACAACCTCAAGGAAAAAAGGAGGAAAGAGGTCTAACAGAACAGGCCACAGAGAAACAAGAGCCCATCTGATGGCACCCGTATGGCCTACTATGTCCAGCCCAACTGTAGAATAGAAAACAAGCAAGGACCCTTCCTAAGACTCCAGTGTAAATACTCATCAGCAGAGAAAGTTTATGTATTTTAACATTTACTCTTACCAATAACTCTGAATTAATGCTACCGTTATCCTTCATTTATAGATTAGGAAACTGGGATACAGAAAGGTTAAAGTCAACTAGTAAACTGCAGGGTCTGCACCTTCAGTAATCTGGCTCCTGGGTCCACAATCAAGGACTCTACCATGTGATACATTAAGTGGAACAAAAGCACATCACAGAGAACTGTGTGTGGTATAATTCCTACTTTATATGTACATTTGTATGTGTGCATAAGTAA